TTCGCCAGCAGCTGCTTGTGCCTCGGGTTCTCTTGAACAACGTGCTTGTTGCCGCGAAGGTAGCCCGCACGACGAAGAAACCGCTGCACTGCCCGCAGAGCCGCCGCCCTGTCCAGTTCGTCGTCACCATCGCCAGCAAACGAAGGTCGTACGTCCACATGCCTGTGCTTGCGTAGGAAGTCAAGCACCTGTACGGCCGTGATGCGGTGTCCACCTTCTCTCTGCATGCGCACGTGATCGCGAACCTGCCTGAGCACACGTTTTGTCGTGGGCACACGTGTCGGCAGCTGTGTCGCCTTCCCACGGCGGTTCTCAACAGAAAGTGTCTTAAGGCCCTGCAGACACGAAGCACATGGAATATGAGCCAACATGAACAGATCTAAGACAAACAGCACGCTGGTGTATGAGTTGACCACAGCAGGTACATCTCCTCAACTCACATCTATGCCGTGCTCTTGCAACAGCTTGTTGAGCATTGCATACTTCCGACGCACAGTGCTGAGGCCAACCCTGTGTTGTTCCAGACCGAGGTAAAAGAGTGAAGTGAGGTCGGCCATGCGAATGAATCATGTCACAGTTGACACATGCAAACACGTCAGCTTGCACACTAACAAAAGAGTGTCAACATACCCCAACTGCTGAGCAGCATGTTCATCGACCTGGCCATTCGGCTTCGAGCGCTTGCCCTTGGACTTCCTCCGGTTCTCCAAGTGTGCCAATTTCAACTGCATGTACACATGCAAAACCAGAAGCGTTTCCCTTTCTCTGTCAGGGTTCCCTGACCCCTCATGTCCCTCAGGCACGCACATATCTCCATGATCTCCTGAGGAGTCAGGTGCTTCTTGGTTACCGGCTTGGGCATGTCTTGTCGTGCCCGCTTTGGTGAGTTGGTGGCAGCTCGCCTTCATCCTTTCATCGTCGCTCAACACCTCGAAATTAGAGGCACAAAAACATCATTTTTCATCGCCCATCGTCGATGATGGTGGTTGAAATTTCCTCTATTTTGCCGACGATTTGCACGAAAGATGCAACTTGACAGCGGTTGCTTGGGGCGTGTGCGTCACCCTTGCACCCCAAACCAGCGCAGATGCATGTGCAAGGCCGGCGTGGTGCTGCCGGGCAGCCTGCACACGACTCAAATCCAACCACAAACGAGAAAAATAAAACCCTACCATTTCGTGTGTCGGGCACTGTCACTTTCCACGACCCAAAGCAAAGAAGCGCACACGCTTTCGATCGCCCCCCCTCGCCTCCAACCAAGAGATCAACTCGCCGTTTCTCAAAGAAGAAGGACAGCAAGTCCCAAGATGCCTGTGGCTCAACAAGAATTCCGGGAGGTGCGCCGCTCCGGCAACCCCTGCTGCCGCATCGTCCTCTATGCCCTGGCCACCGTCATGTGTAAGTCTGAACGCTTTGCTTGATCGCGCATGAGAGGTTGGTGTCTTGTCCTGTGGCCTGGTATGCGTGTTTGTGGCTGTCCGTTTCAGCGTTTTGCTGGATGCTGGTTGATTGCGGGGTGCGTGCGTGTCTGCTGTCGTCGTTTTGGCTTCTGCGCCTCAACAGCACAAGGAACCGAAGTCTTGCAAGGCACCTGTGCTCCCTTGAGGTCGCTGTTGGCTTGGGCCCCCTCCCATCCACACGAACACGCATGGCCGTGCCTTTATGTTGCTGATCGACTGGCTTTCACTGTGTTGTGACAAACCAGGCATGGTGGCCTTGACCGGGTACCTGATCCTGACCGACGGACACCTTTTCACCTTTTGCACGTTCACAGAGTGCAAGTTGGTCGTCTATGGGCTGATCACTTGTTCCGTCGTGGGCTTTGCCCTGTGCTTCATTCCGTGAGTGCAAACCAGCTCATGCCCATTTTTTGTTTTGCTGGTGTTTGTTTGTGTGTGTGTGTGTGTGTGTGTGTGTGTGTGTGTGTGTGTGTGTGTGTGTGTGTGTGTGTGTGTGTGTGTGAATGTGTGTGTGTTTGTTTGTGTGTGAATGTCATATGATTGTGTGTGAATGTCATATGATTGTGTGTGTGTGTGTGTGTATGTGTATGTGTGTGTATGCGTGATGTGTGCGTGAATGTCAGTGTTCGTTGGCTTTGTATCCCTCTCCTCTCCCCCAGCAACCACGACTGTTTGAGTGCATGTCAGTAACTCCAGCTCCGGGCTCGCGTTTCGGGTTTGCTGCAGGTGCTGCAATGTGCCCGTGCTGGAGCCACTTCTGTCCACGCTCGTTGCTCTCCTGGCTACCACATGCGCCGGGTTCCTTCTTCACGACCTCGTCTCGGTATACACATGTGTCGCCATGGAGAAGAGTTGTCGAAATTGGAGGGCCTCGGGTCACGTCTTGCGTGCCTGAATCGCGCTGCTCTTCCTCACATACATGCAAATGTGGGCTCTTTCTTTGTTCCTTAGGCCTGTGATGTTGGAACCGAAAACGAGCGCGTCGTTGAAGCCTGCATTCGCGACATGCCGTACCAACTGGACATGGTCGTGGCTGGCACCACTGTGGGTGCCATTCTTTGGCTTGTTTCCTCCATCGCCGCTTGCTGCAGCGTGAGTGTGTGTGTGTGTGGGGGGGGGGGGTGGGTGTAGGTGGGTGTGGGTGTGGGTGAATGTGTGTGTGTGTGTGTAGGTGGTGGTGGTGGTGTGTGTGTGTGTGTGTGTGTGTGTGTGTGTGTGTGGGTGGGTGTGGGTGTGGGTGTGGGTGTGGGTGGGTGGGTGAATATATGTGTGTGTGTGTGTGTGTGTGTATGTGTGGGTGTGTGTGTTTGTATTGTTGGGGCAATCACGACCGTTTCATGAGCTTTGTTTTTGCGTGGTGTCTGTCGGGTCCGTTCGATTGATTCCGTGCTGGGCTTGCGCTTTGCTTGTGCGATTGCCTTTGCCGTGTAGCGTAGCTCTGCTTTGCTGTCACTTGCAACTGCGATTTCCTATCTCCACACTCAACAATGTGTAACGTTTCCACTCGTATGCAGGTCAACTGTGGCCGCCGCTGGGTTGTGCGACAGTATTACTCGGAGTTCCAGAACCCCGCAGCTGTCATGTAAACCATGCGTCCACGCGTTCCCCACACGCAAAACACACCGCGACACACACACACACACACACACACACACACACACACACACACACACACACACACACACACACACACACACACACACACACACACACACACACACACACAGTTGGGGCTGCATTTCGCATTTCATCGTGTTCTCACCCTGAATGCAACCACTTGTTATCCTTAAATTGTGCTGCTGTAATGTTGTTGCATGTCACATCACAACCGCTCGTTCAACAAGCGATTACACACATCGTAACACATTCCATGAAACGAAAGCATCCAGCGACACAAAGACCAGGCGCGATAACTTAACGTGCATGGGGCACTATGCAGCACTGGCTGGGTGGTACGCCTCATGCGCCCACACGCGAAGCTGATACAAGATGGCGAACACGTGGTGCAGGTTCAGCGATTCACGGCTGTCAGCAAGCCTAGACATGAGCACATTTCAGGTTTGTCATGTGTGTGTGTGGTGTGTGAGTGGGTGATTGCGTGTGAATGTGCATGTGGGTGAATGTGTCTGTGTGATTGCGTGTGAATGTGTATGTATGTGAATGTGTGTCTGTGTGTGTATGTGCCTGTGTGTGTGTGTGTATGTGTGTGTGTGTCTGTGTGTGTATGTATGTGAATGTGTGTGTGTGTGTGTTGGGTGTGTGTCTATGCCTGTGTGTGTGTTTGCATGGCAACGGTCAAGGAAGCGTGAACAAGTGATGGATAGTAAGACGAAGCAGCAAGCACGGTTGCCATCCACCCTGAAACGCACCGTTGCAAACTCAGGAGGATGGGCAGCGCCACTTCCCTCACAGATCGAGGCGACAGCGCGTGTGATGCTCCGGTGTATGCTCCGGTACTCAGCGCAAACATCTGGCGACGCACACAAAGAGGCCACCAAGCACACCACCAACGACGAGGCGGTAAGCAACACAATACGACCTCAAACCAGCTGGCATGTCCAAACAAGCAAGTGCACATGTACAACAAACAAACAACACAAGACACGCAGACAAAACACGCACAGCAGACAAGACAAGCACCTTGCGAATGCCCGTGTTGATTGGGCGTGATAGAGGATAATGAAGCGTGCCGGCAAGTTGGAACGCGCTCAGTGACACGCCACATGCCGTCGCCTGCACTGCACTTGATGGATAAACGAGGCGGTGCCTCTCAAAGGGGCGGTGGCCGCCAGCACGGAGGTGGCCACGACACACGTCCACCATGCGGCATGCAGCGGCAACTGCAAGCGGACCCGCGTCTGCAAACGCAGCCACCCTGCATGCATGCACAAAGCAGCGCAATGATAAACGTCCCGCCAAGCCGATGGCAGAAATAACGTCACACATAACAATGGAAATCTCACTCTGGACATGCGTTCAACATGGACGGCACAGATGTAACAGCAAGGAGCAGGCGCCAGTGGTTGATCTGCTATGCGCACCAATCTCGAATGTCTCTGCTCAGGTCCAAGCTTGGCTCTGCCTCCTGCAACCAGAGAGAGAGAGAGAGAGATGTTGAAAGTGCACACGTGCGCGCGCACACAAAGAAGCCAAACATGACATGAGGCACAATACGCGCAGGCTGCGGATTGACATGTCATGCACTCTGCAATCGTGAAGTACGCACAGGTTTGCCCTTTATACGTACTGAAGGCTGTAGACAACGAAGACTGGCGCCACATGTTGCTAACATTTGTACGCACTCCAAAGACCCGCGTCGAGCCAGCGCAACTATGGCTGTAACCAGTGTGTGTGTGTGTGTGTGTGTGTGTGTGTGTGTGTGTGTGTGTGTGTGTGTGTGTGTGTGTGTGTGTGTGTGTGTGTGTGTGTGTGTGTGTGTGTGTGTGTGTGTAAGCGCAACAAAGGGCCATGTAATTTCACAGCTGAACAAGCCCTCACCTTCACTCACCTTCACTCACCTTCACTCACTCGATGGCTGTGCAGACGAACTGTCAAAGGGCGACGAGTCGCACGCCCTCCCGCTGCACCTCACCGTCAAGTCTCGGGTTCGTCGACACGCGTCTTCGTCGTCGTTGTCGCTGTTGTTTTACAGTTATTTAGTCCGTGTGTGTGTGTGTGTGTGTGTGTGTGTGTGTGTGTGTGTGTGTGTGTGTGTGTGTGTGTGCGTGCGTAAGTGTATGTGTGTGTGTGTGTGTGTGTGGCTGTGTACAGGTGTGTGAATTGTGTCTGACCGCCGAAAGCAGGCTATCACGGCATTGCTCCAAGTCAGCCCCACACTGTAACAACGTGCGAAGCGTTTGCGCGCTTCCCACAGGTCAAGATGAAGGTGGAGGCGAACACAAGCCGGCAACACCGATATGACCGAAAACACAGAGAAAAAGAGAGAAAGAGAGACTACCAGGCAGAAACAGATATGACAGAAACAGATATGACACGCGCAATCCTACACCCCCACACCCTCCCACCACACACACACACACACACACACACACACACACACACACACACACACACAAATCGGAGCATGCTAAACATGGAAACATCAAGGCGTATACGCACAGACACACACACACACGCATGCACATACCATACGCATCAATATCTCCATACAACACGTACAACTGCTGTACCTTCCAGTGTAAACAGCGCGCTGCAGCACAAACGACGGAATGGGGACGTTATAGGACCGAACAAGCTCTTGTAGGGCAGTGCAGTGACAGCCTCGAGCAAGCGCTGAAAGTGCGGCGCAGTCTCTGTCTGCGAGATGCCCACCAATCTGCCACAGTCGTCGCAGCAGCGGAAGTCGTTGAGGCTGCTTGGCAGCCATTACACACGGAGTCTCCCCATGCGCGTTGCGTGCATGAAGTGCACCAAACAACGGCAGGCGTTTCTCCTCTGCAGAAGCAACCAAGTTCAGCCCAAACACCAGAACACAAACGCCTAAACGCTTAGAGAAGGCCAAAACACAGCGCAGCAAAGCCTCATGCTTACCCATCCACACGAATGCACAACCGCGACCGTCACCGTCACGCAACCACATGCATACACGCACGCAACCGCAACCACGCACACAAACAGATACATACACACGCGCAAAAGCACACACACGCGCGCGCAAAAGCACACACACTCACACACTCAATTCAACGCATGATGTAGTGTCAAGCACATGCGCGCGCTCACCTCCCATAGATGGAAAACTTTCTGTCGCACTTGTGGTACTCAGGCACTCGGGGTCCACACCAAGTGCTTGAATGAGGAGGAGGCACGGCGCGATGCTGTCCAGCACTTGTACATCCATGCAGGCCACAAGGAAATGGAACACCCCATATTTGTTGCGGGCGTGATGGGCGTCAAACATCATGCGCACTTGGCTGATGCCTGATGCTGCATCATTTGTCGGTGAACGTGCAGCTGATCTCAACTTGTGCACGATGGCAAACAGCGCGCCCTTTTGTACACGATGCACTGGCCCTTGCCGACACTCTCCCAGCAGCGCCTGCACATGACCCTCCGCCTCAACGACGTTGATCAGCAAATCATCGTCATGCAAGCTAAGATCGTCATCCATACGCCCACGTAAACACAACAGAACATGGTGCCGGCATTGCCGCTGAAGCTCCGGCTGCTTCTGCCGCCCGCCGCGAGCAGCCTCCAACAACCTGTCCTCCATCAGCAAAGTCCTAGAAATATGTATTTGGCATAATTTTAGCCGAAGAAAAGAAGCTGGTGGTGGTGGGGGGGGGGGGGGGGAGACGTACCCGGTGAAGTCAGGGACGCGGCGCTGCGAGACTTCGACAAGGCAGTTCGTGCGGAGCGCTCCAAGGCAAAGAAGGCAAGAGAGCAAAACAGACCCACAGGCCCGCATGGTTTCGGTTCAGGTCGAGAAAGGACTCACAGCAGTGCACCGAGATCCGCCATCGCGACTGGAACTCCCTATTTGCCCCCTGCCAACTGCTGTTGAATACTCATGCTGGTGGTGCTGTTGTTGGAGACTTGTGTGTGTGTGTGTGTGTATGTGTGTGTGTGTGTGTGCTGTGTGTGCTGTGTGTTGTGCGGGAGATTGTCTTGGCAAGAGAGAGTTGCGTGTGTTTACTTGAGTTGTGAAGCAAACAAGGATGTAGGATGAAAAAAACACTCCAACAGAAAGAAACAGAGCACAAGACAAGAATTGTCGACAACGCAAAGTGGTGACGTGGCAGTGTTTGTTGAGAGTTGTTGTTGCAAGTTCATGGTGGTGGTGCTGTTGTTGGAGACTTGTGTGTGTGTGTGCTGTGTGTGCTGTGTGTGCTGTGTGTTGTGTGTGCTGTGTGTTGTGTGGGAGATTGTCTTGGCAAGAGAGCGCCGACGCGCTTCAAGGCACGCTGGGTTGCCAAGGGCTTCAGCCAACGACCGGGCATCGACTTCGACCAGACCTACGCCCCAACACCAGCAGCCAAGACCATCCTCACTGTGCTCGCCGTCTCCCTGCAACGACGGCACCAGCTGCACCAGCTCGACTTCAAGTCGGCTTACCTGCAGGCTGATCTCAAGGAGGAGCTGTACATGGAGCTGCCGCCGCACTTCACCGACATCGGCGACGGCGCTCAACGCTACGCGGGCAAGGTGTGCCGGCTGCTCAAGCCGCTCTACGGCCTCAAGCAAGCTGGCCGTGCATGGGCCAAGAAGCTGCTGTAGAAACACGACAGGTGGTGTGTGTGTTTACTGTAGGCAAACGCAACAAACAAGAACACAAGGAGAATGAACAAGCACAACAAGCTGCTGCCAAATCAACTCGGGCAGCACGCTCAAACAAACACTAGACAAGTGCACACAGTCAACAGAGCTGCCAAGGCGACATGGGCAGAGTGTGCACGAACACAAACAATCTAAACAACGAACAGCATGCATACATGCGCGCAGAGCAACGCTAGGCATGGCATGAATGCTTGCAGGCAAGCATACACAACAGACAACACTTCACAACACTGCATGGCACGCAGGCATGGCATTTGCCAAGCATGACGGGCATGCACACACACACACACACA